TGACGGCACCCTGAGGAGTCCCTCTCTGTGGGAGCGTCCTGGCCGGTGGGAGGCTATTGGCATGCGCCGATCCAGCACGCGCATGTCCCTTGGGCAGCTCCTCTTCCTGATTGCGGCCTTGATGAGTGCAAAGTGCTCCCTTTTCGGCATTCGGTGCTGAAAAGGTTCCCCATCACTGACCTAGAAGGTCTAGTCCAATCCCCTGCTCAAGCAGGAGACCCTATACCATTTCAGACATGTTGCTGTCCAGTCTCTTTTTAAAAGCCTCCAGTGATGGAGCAGCCATAACTTCTGAAGGCAAGCTGTTCCATTGGTTAATTGTTCTCACTGTCAGGAAATTCCTCCTTAGTTCTAAGTTACTTCTCTCCTTGATTAGTTTTCATCCATTGCTTCTTATCCTGCCTTCTGATGCCATGCAGCTTCTAACAAAATCTTGTTTTCCTCTTTGCTCAGACTTCTAATCTAGTCAAAGGCCATATTTCATCAGGGGAATTCATGGGGTTGCACAATGTGATAACCTAAATAAGCAAAGTGTAGGGACTGCTCTGCGAGATAAGAGATATATAAATTTTATAAATTAATAAATAAACCAAAAATGGATGAACATATCCAAAGCCTTCTTTCTCTTCCTTCAGTCAGTAAAGTATAGCCAGATATCTGATTTCAAAACCATAAAAAAGCTAAGGGCACAGGTTATACAACACATTGAAATTAATTATCCCAATATTTATTCAATGTTCTGGATTCACATGACAGGATCTTATTTTTTTTCTTTCCTAGTTTAAAATTAAGAACCTCTTTCCATAACATTCTTTTGTCCTTCTTCAAGCAAATCACGTTGTGCTGATTTTGTATTGACTTGCATTCACATCAGTGTTTTTTTTAATAATGTCAAACCAGAGATTTGTAGGAATCATAAGCTAGTAAGGAAGCAGATGGTAACACCTGTTCTGTCTCAAAGGAAGGATCCATGAACAGGATAGATACATGTAGTGGAAACAGGAGACTAGACTACTATCAACTGGGAGTTGGCAATTTAAAGTCTGTGGTCACAAGAAACCACACAAAACCCAACTATAGTTTATTAGATAGGATCTGAACACTAGGATAGCTTGGATCTGAACACTAGGACTGGTTAGAAAGTCAGCTTCTGTATCAGGATCAGAAAAAACTCTATCCTTAAAAGACTGAGTTTTTCCTACCAGCCTGAAAGCAATATGCTTGATTATTCCAGTCACTTCACCCTTATGGCATTCAATTAAAGATCCTTAACTACAGTTGCATATATATATAAACACACACACACACCAGTAACACAATGAACCACGAATATATTATACTAAATGATGATAACAATATTATTTTTCCACACTAATTATACAGGTCAGGAAGCCAATGTGGATATGAGACACATAATAGGTACAATAGATAGCTAGAAGAGCCCAGGTACTTGTTGTAGAGTTAGCACAGATATGATAAAAGAATAGAAGAATGCCACTGAAATGAGGTGAAAAGGCTTTACAAGGAGAACAACTCTTAAGGATGAAACTGAAAGTTGATGAACAAGAGAGGCTAGTCCAAAAGAAGAAGAAAGCAAAAAGCAAACTTGAAATAAGGAGAGGGATACAAAAATAGTAAATGGAAATCCCTTTATACTAATGTTCCACTTAAATAGAAAAAATAGCAATATATTAGTGATATTAATGCAGAAGGTAGCATGTAGCAAATATATACACCTACAGACAGACCCACTCTACTTTTTTTATAGCTTTCCAGATACGATGGACCAACTTCTATAATTCCAATTTAATCAAAGGCTAGCTGGGAATCATGGGAGTTAAAAATCCAACCCAATACGGGAAGAATCAATCTGTAACATTCTTCTATCCAGAAGTGCACATCATTTAGATTGGATGCATGAATACATTCTACACAAGAAATTTTTGTGGATTGCATGTTCATATTGCCAAAATTTCATAGATGAGAAATGGAAGCAAGCCAGATTTTAAATCCATTGTCCCGTGCTAGTGCAGATGAATGTCTATACAAAGAAAGTGGGATGCCAGTGAATTAATTGATTTAACTAGAGCTATCTTACCGATACATACTGTACAATATATCTATTTATTCATACATAAACAGTATCATTTGTCCACATCCCCAGGTTAATATGACTTCTAATATGCTTTCAAAATAAATTGTCTAACAAAGAAAACTATTTTTCATTGTCTTTTATCTGCTTTTTAAAATCTCACCATCAATCTGGTGACCCTACTTTCTAAATTCAATACAGATTTTTTTTATTAACATTTGTAAGAGAGAGAGAGAGAGAGAGAGAGAGAGAGAGAGAGAGAGAGAGAGAGAGAGAGTATCTTTATTCCAGAGAAGAGACTGCCAGAAGCCAAGCACTAATGAGTCAAACTTTTAGAAACAGAAAGAAGGTGTGGGTACATGTTACTGCTCGTAGTGTGTGTAACATTCAGTAGTGAAAATTGGGCTGCTCCAGACAGCATGACATTGCCAGTAGTGTGAAGAGACACATCTTTGTATTCCATCATCCTGATGTTTTGCATCTTCAAAGAGTTCAGGAAATACATTCCTGACTGCAGATGGTATTAAAGTCTTGTGGTAAAGTATACAATAGTTTTGAGATCTAATCTGAGCTAAATCACCACTTTGCTATGCTGCTTTAAACCAATTGGCTGACCTCCTCCTACTTATCAAACAGGGGAGAGGAAAGGCTGCAGCAGACAAGAAAAAGGAGCCAGGCTTTCATCAGGGAGCATGGGTTTTTTTCCTTTCTTTCTCCTCTTGGTAACTTTGCCTTTTTTCAATCAAACTGAGCATTTGAATCCTACAGGGAAAAGCAGCCCAGCTTTTTAAAAAATATAGTCAATTAATCCTAAACATGATGTTTTGCTTTCTCCCAGGAGTTGAGGGGGGAAACCCCAAATTCTCAGCGTCTCCTTACTGAAATCATAGATGGATATAATTTATTTATTAATGGCTCACTTGTTTTTCCCTTCATGCAAACACCAAAATAACCCATTTCATCTATGAAATGCGGCTTCTTTGCTAGCAGATATTTCCACTTGAAATATCAAAAAGATCAGAATGCTACTGCAATGTACTATTTCTACATTGCTTCATTTTTATACCTATACCATACAATACAACTACTGAGAAGCACTTATTTTTATACTGAGAATTATACTATTTCATAGGTGTTTTAAAATGTATCAGGGGGTGGGGGATCACCTTTCCAAAAGCATTGGAAGTATTCTTCCAATGCTTTTCCATAAGTCTTTTCCATAAGACTTCCAAGTCTTATAATAGGAATTCAAAATTCACACAGAATATCCATATCACTGATCAGCTATTTTGGCAGACACAAACCACCACACCCTTAAAGCATGAAAAAGAACGGATTGCAGGTTTTATTACATATATTACTCAAACATACTGCCAAATGTAGACATGACACTCTTTCAAGACATAATATTGCTTTTATATTTAGTAAAAGTGGCATCTACAACAGGGCCCTACAGAAGAATATGTATCTAACTCTGCATTGCTAAAGAAATCTTAAACTAAAGATAGCATTTTCTGAAAATAAGTAGACACCAGAAAAAGTGTTGTTGTTTCTGATCACATAGAAATACAGACTCAAACTTGGGACCATTAGCGACCTGGCAATAGGGAATTTGAATCTGTAGGTGGATATTGAATTTTCAAACTCAGATATGTTCTACAGCTGACTACAGTACATGCAAAAACAAAAAGGAAGAAAATAATGAGCACATTGTCTACAACAGGTTGCGTCCAAGCCTCCAAATAAAATCCTATCTCCTGCCAACATTTTATAGGAGGACTGATCATAACATTTCTACATAAATTTTAAGAGAAAATTGAGCATTCTTCCTATGGTTGTCCTACAAGGATTATAAACCCAGACTCTAGCTAGTTGTGTTTCTAACTTAACAATGTCCCTTTCATTGCTCTCTCCAGCAAATGCATGGCATGTAATATTGCTCCATCCGCCAGCACAGCTACTCAAATCAGATTTCAAGGGCGCCACCTTTTGATAAAACTGAGTTTATGAGAAGAAAAACAGAGAAAGATTTCTTAATGCATAATCTATAGGAAATGTAAGAGATATTCTACAAAATATACATAAGATACAATATATGTCTGTGTGATTGTACATATGAATAATTACTAGAATCATCTGTGGCATTTACATACATTTCTGCATTTATAAATGTAGAAATCTGTTATTTCTGCAGGTAAGGGAAAGTTGATTTCCCCGATTAGTTTGAAAGCAACCTTCTATAGTGTTTGCTTCCTTCCTTATATGGAAAGGAGGAAGGGGGTGTATCACTTCTTAATAAATGGAATGCCAGGTTCTGAACAACAGCGAAGGCCACCGTCCTCCTCTCTGGCTCCCACTCCTCATTACTCATTTTTCAGCGCAGTGCCACTGAAGCATCTTCTCTCCCCCTACCATCCTACCCCCACTTACAAATGGGGAAAATAAGACAGAGAAATCAACGGCGTGACTGCATTGTAAGTCAAGCAACAAGCACAATTCTCTTCCGAATGCAACAGTAGTTTAAAACAAAAATCAAAGAAGAAGGGGGGCGGGGGGGGCTTGAGGGAAACCACTGCTGAAACACACCGCTGGGTCTAACTTTCCTCCAGCGGCCCACAGTCATCCTTCTTTATAACCGCGGATTAAAAAGAGCCCCGACTTTCCCTCTCCGTGGTGCTGATAATGCTACTTCTCCGTGGCCCCTTCGCCAAAAAGATTGAGCCACCCGCGCGAGTTTCTCTCGCCAACTAGCCCGGCGTCCGACCCAGCCAGAAACTTTTGCACCGGGGAGAAGACCGAGAAGCCACTGGTGAAGGTCTAGCCGGGTTTGCAGAGGGAGACACCCCCCCCTCCCCGCCGCTCCCCACCTTTCGCCCCTCCCGCTCCCCTGGCCGGCTCGTCGACTTACGCTGCTGTTGTAGCCGGACCAGTGCACCATCGCCTGGTTGTGAGCCGAGTCTCCGTTCAGGGCAAAGGTGGTGCTGGACAGTTTCAACTCTTCGCCTCCGCCCCCGCGCAGTTTGCCCAGCCGCCCTTCCTCTTTGGAGCCTCTGCCGGGACTTCGGGCTCTGTGGCCGTCCGGAGAGGAGGCGTCCCAACCCCCTCCTTCTACCCCTCGCCGGTCCGGCCCGAAGGGTTGCCAATCCTCGCTGCTCCTCCGTGCTCTGGGGCTGCCGGCCGGCGATTCCCCGACAGACCCTCCTCCGGGCATCTGTTGCATCTCTGCCCAGACGGAAGGCAAGGAGCTTCCCCTGCCCTTCGCCCTATTCCCGAGTTGGTGGGAGCCGCCGAGATCGGGGCTCCGGCGCGCCCTCTCGGTTTCCTTCGGGGGTCCGCCGGTGGCTTTCTCGGGCGTCGCGGGTGCGGTGCCTTGCGCCCTCGCCGGATCGGGATCCTTTCGGGGCGCTCCCATCGCTTCGCCTTCCTCCTCCAGGGCCTCTCCCGCTGCACCCCATCCTCCACGGGGATTCTCCTGCAGGGTTTCCCCATCTTCGTCGCCGCTTGGCCCGAGTTTCACTCCCCGAGGAACCTCCAGCGGCGACGGCAACTGCAGCAGCTTAACCCGAAAAGATGTGGGCGATAAAGACGACTGGAAACAAGATCTGCAAGTTATCTCAGCCCCGACAAAAGACCCAGCGCCAAATAAAAGCCATGCCGAGGCGATCCAAGCGACGCAGCAGCCAGAGGACCAGCCAGCCCCTCTCTCCATGCCTTGCAGAGAGTTGGGTATGTATGGTGGGAGGGGTGGGGGGTCCTTTCTAAGCGGGAGGGAGGGAGGGAGCGCAGCGGCCAGCAGATTATTATTATTTTGCAGCCAAAGCTTTCTTCTTCCACCTTTTTTTTTTTTTCTCAACCTCTGAGGTTGAGATGCAGGGATTTCGTTTTGGGGGGTTTTAACAACAACAAAAATAACAACAAAAAACAAAAAGTCCTGTAGTTGGATTCTGTTCTTTCACTGTTGCTGGATTTTTCTCTTTCCCTTTTCTTTCTTTTCTTTTCTTTTCTTTTCTTTTTTTTTTTAAAAAAAACGTGCTTTTCAGTGAAACTGTTCACGTTCGAGGATTTGATCAAGTAAGAGGATAGCACCACCAAGGGGAGGAGCTGCTGCTCCCGAGCCAAACGCCACGGATGAAATACACCAGCAATTCACCAACCACGCTGCACTTCCAGCGGAATCCGGCGGTGTGTGCGCGCACCGAGCGGCTGCCTCGGTGCTTAACAGGGCGAGTGTAAGGAAACTACACTGGCGCGCGTGGGCAGGAAAACAACAACAGCCGACGAGAGAAGCCTAGAGGAAGGACCACCGCCGGGGATTTTCTCCTCGCTTTCCTGGCGGTGAGAATAGGAAGCGAGCGGCCAATGCCGCTGCCGAGCGAAAGGTCTTCCCCCCTCCCTGTTCCTCTCGGGGATTTTCCAACCGCTAGAAAAAGGGTCGCCTGTGCTTCCTCCGCACCGCTGACAAATCTCACCAGAAGCCATTGAAGTAACAGGCGGAGATTTGTGCGTGTCGAAGGGTGAACCCTAACAGCGGGGAGGAGGGGGAGAGGGCAACAGCGCGACTGGCACTAATCTATTCCAGTTGGATCGGAAGTCTCTCCGACGGATCAATAGTAGCAGGCGCAGGATCTCCGCTTTAGGTTTGGGAACTTGTAAGAGCAGCCGTAGAAAGAACGGCTTATTCCCGTGGACCATCTCTTCTCAAGCTAGGTAGGCAGTGCCATCGCTTCTACTTGGAAGCAAACCATCTTGAGAACTAGGGGCTTTAGCCTCCCATTTGTATGAGGGTGTAGCCTTCCCTCGGGAGAGTTCCATTGCCTGCTAGTCCTAATCCCTTACCCCCAGCGGTTGCCTTTGGACCACTCAGGAAGCACCAGAAAGCCATGGCTTGAGATGGTAGGCATCCCAACCTGGAATGGCAAGGAAATCAAAGGAGCTGGCCATCACTTCCATAGAGAGAGCTAGGAATAGATATAGATAGAGGTATATTCCCAAGAAGTCTTACTTTTAAAAATGAGTGCTAAGCAACAGTGGAAGTACTGGTAGTTTCACGGAAATTATCTCAGCCCAAAATTCGAAAATATTGCAAGTGGATTTCCCAAGTTGTTGCACAGAGAAGTTATGGGTGGGGCCAAATGAGACTAGATCATTATTGCTTTAGCTGTGTAATACTTTTATCACCTGAACATTCAGGATCATAGTCCTACAGAGATGTACCAGTATCTCAAAAACGAGCAAGTTCGTTTCAAAAGAGGAAACCCGAAGAATTGAGCCTGGACAGGCTTGTAGGAAAAGAAACAAAGTCAACCCACAAATTTCTACTGGAGCCTCCTGTAGTCTCTGGGAAGCCAGGATTATTTGGATACTATTGACAAGCTAATAAGATTTTCATTATGAGGATTTCTTACTGTCACGCTGCTTGTTTTGCTTTCCAGCAAGCAACAAAGTTAATGTTATGCCAATTCATTATCCCTTCCTGTAGCAGGATTGATTCTGCATTTGTCTCTTACTACCCACCCCACCCTTTCATGGATTGATTTACATTTTCAGCCAGACCCATCGGGGATTTTAACTAGGAAACATTCCTAAACACTGAACAGATGTAAACCAACAAGTGAGAACAAATTATTTAACACAACTTCTTGGAAGTAAATCTGGAGTGGAGTGAAATCCTCGCCATCTGCAAGAGAAAGTGATGACAAGTCATTTCCACTATACTTTGTGGTGACAATAAAGAGGCAAGCACCAGAGTTGGATGAAATATTCTACAGTCTTTATTTAACATAAGATGAGCCTAAATAAGGGACGGAGATCAGAAAGAACCAGATTCCCATCCGTATTCACTTTCCCAGGGAACATTCCTTATATTCCAGAGATCTTACTAGAAGACAGGAATGTGTCTTCTGTCACATTCATCTGTCCCCCTTTTCAAGTTGCAACGAATAAAGAAAAATATGATTTACAAACTGTATACATGACCAACTAAATAACCTATTTATTGAGCATACTAAAATCTAACCTTGGCTGTCTTATAATCAGTGTGTCAATACATGCTTGGGGAAGATGTGATATAAAGATAATCACTCTTAAGACTTCTTGGCAAAGAAGAAACTGGTTTATGTGGGCTGACACTTTTTATAATCTTATCTTTAACCTTCTTTCCACACCTTAACAGATCCTGTTTTTCTGCATATAGCATTCCTTGGTTTTCACATAATTAGTCTCCATAAAATATAAGCATTCTGCCTGTGCCTAGAGATCATCCCAACTTTCTGCACTTTTTCACATGTATTGCCACAGCTGGAAAGGAGGATAGCCCCATGAACCTTCCTATCCCTGCTCAAACTTTGCTCAAATGATGAAAGTTCTTCTACCATTAATAAATAATATGGAATTCTCATATCAAAGGCAAAAGACCTCTTGAAACCAGTTGTTAAAGAAGCAGGTGCTTTATTATTACTGTGCTTCTAAGCCTTCTAGAATGTATTGGTGTAGTTAGAAGCACATTATTGGTCCAAATTAAAATAAATGACCCATCTTAGAGAGCAAACTGGAGATAAAAGGAACTAAGGACTAAGTTCCAAATTCCTATTTATTCATAATCAAACCAACCTGTACATAATGATTATATTACTTTCTTCCAATCAAAATTCTAGGAATACATTTTGCCTTGCTTGAATCTTCTAAGTAATTTTGGTGGCAGTCCCACAGAACATGTTATAATGGTCCACTCAAGAGGCAATTGACATGACTAGTATATAGCCCTATTGGCTTCCACCAGTACAAGGTATACAGTAATTTATACAGTATATCAGGTCCAGGAGCATTCCAATTTTTTAAGATTCTCATCCTCCAAGACAGTGCTTCCCAAACCTAGCCAAATTATCCAAAACTGGGTAAACGTGGCTTTTGGTTAGATAATGACACACAAACCCATTATCCAATCACAATAGGGACATTTAAATTGATTCAAAGAGTTTTGCTTACATTGAGTAAGAAGGATTTTCTGATAATTTGGGGGAATGAATGAAAAAGTTCATTTATTTTAGTTCTCCCCACCCACAATGTTCTTTTTCTTTCTGTAAACATGCCCCAGTTCCTACTAAGAGGGGGAAAAGGTAGAAAGTGTGCATGGAAAAAAGTGAAAGGAAGGATGCGAGATGAAAGACAGGATAAGTAGACATAACTGTGGCACTTCAAACTTTATGGATCATGTGCTGTCTGGGGTTTCCAATCAAATTGTATGGTCATTTTTTCCCCCATAAATTCATCTTCCAAAGGGGTGTACCACAGAAACAATAAACAACTAAATAGCAAATAGCTTTATACAGCTTTAAGGATGCAAGAAGAGAGAAACACCAAAGTTAAGAGTATAACTTTTATAAGAAAATATTTTTAAGGAAGATGTTTCGAGGAAAATAAAAGCTTTATTTAGGAAATAATATAGTGACAGGAAAATGTTAATGATTTAATTATATGTACAATTAACAGTCTGTAGATCATTTCTAAGGAGGTCATTTCTGGGGAGGGTTAGATTAGCAAAGTCACATGGTTGCCACAACCACACAATAGACTTTCTCCTTTTCATGGAGCTTAAATGCAACACCCATAAAATAGAGTAGGGTTAATTGTGCTTGCAGCCACCATTTTCATTTTTTCAACCTACCCACAGCCTTTCCAAGAGATGCCCCATTTTGGGGAACAAGCAAGTCATGTAAGTAAGTGCCTGTATTGCACAGATCAGAGCCAGAAAGGAGAGAAGACTGAATTGACAGATACCATAGGGGAAAAAATGATGAAAGCTCTAAGAATAACATCTGTTACATAAAACATGCAAAATGAGTCTTTTAGATAATGTCTAGACCTCCTTTGTTAACTGTCTCCAAATCTACAGCCATTAGTGTTCAGTTGGTTCGTATGTGCAGAGAACCAGTACACTCAAAAGTGAATTCAAACAGTACATGGATATAAAGCAAAGGGAAAAGACACAAAAATAGTAGCAGCATTAGTATAAAGTGAATGGGATTTTATGAGATCATGAGGATCAATTTAATAAAGTGATAGCTCATCCTTGTAAAAATGTGTCTCCTCTTAAAATTCCCTTCAAATGTGCTCTTCTATCTGTTGCTTCTCAAGAGTAGTTATAGTCCCAATATTTTTGGAATTTACCACTTTGCTGAGATTTTTTATAATGAAAACTAATGTATATTCCAGTGCAATTCCATTTTTTCCTATCTCAAATTATCTAGCAATGCAATTTATTCAAGTCCAAAGGAGATTCACTGATTAACTGCATATAAATATAGCCCCCATGAAAAATGCAATTGTGTTTATTTGAATGGCTAATTGTCAAATTACTTGGTTAGCTTCTGAAGCATTTACATACAGTAAACAAGAATTCAAAACGGATTACTTCTCAAAAGATAAGCCTAATTTGTGAAAGTGAGTAATTCTTTTATTTCTTGCAGGAATTCTTTCATCCTACCATGAAAAATATCCTGTGAATATTCAGATAATTCCATCATGCATTTCTTTGCATATATTATCATATAACTCTGGACACAACGTTCTTCCATCTTTAGTTCTGGATGAGATGGCACTGCCCTAGACAGACCCAGTGAGCAATCTGGGGGTTCTCCTAGATTCATGGCTCCTCCTCCTCCTCCTCCTCCTCCTCCTCCTCCTCCTCCTCCTCCTCTTCCTCCTCCTCCTCCTCCTAAAGAGCATGTGGCAGCCTTGGCTAGGAGAGCCTTTGCATACCTTTGGGTAGTGCTTAGTTACTATTTCTGAACGAGAAGCCCTGATCACTGTTACTCATGTTGTTGTACCTTTCCCTTAGATTACTGCAATGCACTCTACATGGTGCTGTTCCTGAAAACCATTCAAAAACTTCAACTGATACAGAATGCAACTGCACAGATAATAAATGGTGCTAGATATACAGCACGTCACATCACTACTGCATGAGCTACATCTGATATGTTTCTAGGTGCAATTCAAGGTATTAGAGCTATAGTGGCACAGTAGTTAGAATGCAGTACTGCAGGCTACTTTTGCTGACTGCCAGTTCGAATCTCATCAGGCTCAAGGTTGACTCAGCCTTCCATCCTTCTGAGGTGGGTAAAATAAGGACCCAGATTGTTGGGGGCAACATGCTGACTCTGTAAACCACTTAGAGAGGGCTGTAAAGCACTGTGAAGCTGTATATAAGTCTAAATGCTATTGCAATTAGTTGTCAACTTTAAACAACATGACTTGGGCCTGGGTTATATAAGGGATGGACCTTTTCCAAGAGTCTCTATCCATCTAATTTGAT